CCACCTCCGTCCCCCATCTGTCCCCTGCGAATCCGTAACCCCCACCCTTGATTTTTAGCTGCTCTGGTGTTTCCATCCACCGGCAAAAGTTTAACCCCTTCCATTTCCGATATGCTATAGGGTGTGTTGCGAATGGCTCAAAATCGATCCATGGATCTTTTGAAAGGTGGCACTTTTTAAGCTAGAATATCCCTTTTCCCAGGTTATTAACCTGTCTTAAAACCCTATTTCCACTGCCATCCCCCCCTTTTTTTTTAGTGAAGCTCTGGGAAACCAGACAATTCTTTGCTCGCTCCCTCCCTTCCCCCCGCCCCCCCTTTTACTAACTCTTTGCCTTCGCGCTTTAGGCCCTGCCAAAACCTATAAGCTTAAATCTGGAAGATTCCTTCATGTGGTGTATCCCTCTGTTTGTTCCCTCAGTGGAAGGATGGAGCTAGGCTTAGGATGGGCTTGCTTATACAAATTTATTCAGAGGGTGCATCTCCTAACTGGTTTTATTAGAAGGGAGCGTTCTCTCAGGCATTTATGCGTTGTACCAAATGTGGGGCGTTTAAAGATGTTTTAGACGTAGCCCCAACCTTTAATACAGGTAGACGTTAGAGATACATATTCAGAGGCCTGGGAGGGTTTGTGGAGAACAAGGGAGGAGAGAGGTTCAGCTACGAAAAATACTGGAGTTGAATTAAGGAGTCTAGTTCTGATTTCTGAGCCAGTTTACAATATGAGCATGAACAAATCCTTCCACATTTTAATGTCTTTTTTTATGACCCCCGCCATCTCTTACATCAGTCTACACAGGTTTACTGAGCTTCAGCCAGATACAAGGAATGTATAAAACATGATTCTTACCTACCTGGAAAAAAAAAAAAAGGTATATACTCAGGGAGCAAAGTGTTACAAATAGTTGTATAGAACATGAGTATGACACATTTGAAAAGGAAGAGGTAGTAAATGTGTTATGACTATTTCAAATCCCAATTGCAAAAATGAGGAACCTGAGGCCCAGAGAGAAAAGACTGAATTCAGGGTCATAAAACTGAGTTAGGCAAAAAACCAGGACTATTCCTTTGGAGCCAGTGCTGAAACTTGGAGCAGAGCTAACGTTTCCAGTGTTGTAAATGGTTGTTATAGTTTCTTAGACTGTCTCACAGAAGCCTTTTTAACCTGTGAAGTGACTAGATCATGAATGCAACATTCATGAAATTAAGTGTGCTTAAGATTGTATGCGTTGGAAAATAGTATAAAAGCATACTTTTGCACATGTTTGATATGTAAGTTTTGTAGCACTGGAGCAAGTTATATACACAGGAAAGTGAAATGATTTCAGAATTATGTTGCTCTGATGCTGAGGGCAAAGGAGTGGAGACAGATGCTAAGGGTAAGCCCTGCCAAAATGGATCGAGGTGATGGTGACTGAAGCAAGGAGAATAAAACATTTCTTACAGCTTGTTTGTTCTTTCTCCTCCCATTTTTTTCCTTGTGCTTTCCTACCCATTTTCTTAGAGACCACGGTAAAGTCAAGGTGGTTTTGCAGAATGGGGCAGTGAAAATAGAGCTGGAGGTTCCTGTTCAGCCCTTGTTTTTCCAAGTCAAACATTATTTTTCCTAGTTACTGCCTGCTTTTTAAAAACCTCTCTCTCCAAACCCTACTTTTCACAAGGCTTGAAATGGCAGTAGGAGGTCTAATGTATTTTACTCTGTATCCTTTTCAGCAGAGATTAGGGGAACCAGAATTAGCAATACTTATAGCAGATAATGTTTCTGCCCTGGGCTACCTTGCTTTTTAAATCCTTTTTCTTTCCAAAATGTTCTGCCTTCTTATCCCTCCTCAAGATGGTGTTTGAGAGGACCATATGCTTCTAGTCATTTCTTTTCAGGGAGAAGCAAAGAGCTAAATCATGTATGTGGGCAAAGTTTGGGGAATTCTTTTATTTTGGAGTTTTACGTGTCACATTTTTTCCCTCACATCACATCATTCACCAATTCAAGCAACAATCTAAAAATCAGATCCAAATAGCTAAGTACAGATATTCTACTTTGGGTTTAGTCATTATAAAATAAATTTCATTGAAAGTAGAAAGCTTGCCAATGGGTTGACACTTGATTTACCTTAATTTTGCTTCTTCCTTGTTACTTGATAAGAAAACTGGAGATTGTTTAAATAATGCTCTTGATAAGGCCCTTAGTATGATGACAGTTTTGTGACTGTTCATTTATTGGACTCTGGACAACATTTGCAATCTTCATTAACCTGGAGAGTCGGGCACTATTACTTGTAATCCCTAAGATTATGAATGTTTATAGTGTTCAGATTAGAGTCACCTGTGAATTAAGTTGTTTCACTGGTTCATAAATTATATGAACACAGCCAATTCCCTAAGAATTCATACTTTCCTAGGAGTATCTTTTAGGATTTTGTGACCAAGTAGGGTTTGTCTGGAATTTTGAAATAAATTTCAATAAGCAAAAAGACAATTTTTTTTTTAATTGAAATGTCAGTATGGACTATATATAGTGTTTAAGACATTTTTCTTTGGTTTTGGGGACAGGATTTTTCTGATGTAGTTGTGGATCTTCTCTTAGCCTTCGTCCACCACAACCTCCACTATCATCAAGAAAGGATGTCATTTAGCAAATTGAAAAAAAATTATAATGATATTAGTAGATCCTATAATTGAGAGATGAAGGTGATTAATATGAACTACTCGATGTGTTATTCTCTTTATCTTTCAGGAGTACATCAACAATTGTACATTGAACAAATGTGAAAAGTGGGTGGGAGGACAGTGCCTCACTTTTGTATACCCTATTGGCAGGATACGAAATGAACGATTGTATAAAGAAGTTACTCAGTTATATGATTTTTGAACCCTGTTTTCAACCAGAAAAACAACAAGGCTACTGTGTACCTTTTGTACCACCCACAGTTTTCCAATCTTGATGTAGAATTAGAGGTGCAGAAGAGCTATGAGTGTAGGTGGGAGAACCACGTTCCATAAAGTGAGATAGGTTACAGAGACAGAAGGATTTTGGTTTGGGGACTTGTTGAGATGAGTTAAGAATGGGGATTGGGCTTTGGGGAACTATCCAGGCTAGAAATGTAGATTTGAGAATAATCGGAAATTACAGTAGGATGACGAGAGTAGAACCGAGTTACAGAGGTTGAGATGGTAGATGAAACTTTTCAGTAAACTTAAGGAAAGGAAGGAGAGGAGGTGTGGTGATATTTGAAAAAATAAAGCAAAGTTTCTTTGTTTTGTTTTCCTTGTTTAGTTTTTCTTCTCCAAAAATAGAGATTTTCGTTCCTTAGAAGCATCCCACAGGAAAGGGAGAAATGGAAAATATAAGAGAGGGCTAGATGACGAGATGGATGGGATGAACTCGGGAGTCCAAATGAAAGAATTAGTCTTAGAAATGAACTGGAATATTTTTATTGTCAAGACTGTAGAGAGGATAGGAGGGATGTGTAATGATCTCAAGACAATTGAGGTCATTTAGAGGAGACCTGGGAATTGGAGTGAGTAGGTAAGGAGGCTGTGTCATCTGCTCTTACCTGGGACCTTAATGGCCTGTTGGACTCCAGAGGAGTAGCAGAGGTTAGGGTGGCTGTATGGGGATTCTAGCAGGGAGCCACATGATGAATACACATGATGATAGGGACTGTTCCTTGAGAATGAATGCATGGCATGGATTTGTTCTCAGCTTTACCTTTTCTTATAATTAAAATTTGGTCGGCGAGCCTAGTTATCAAATTACAACCATTTCATTGGGATTCTTTTCAACATTTTTAAGATATGGAGAAAGTCTTCTTTGTGAATAATTTTATGGTTATAGCTAGGATTTTCTTAGGTAGCTTTCTCTTAATGGAATAAGATGTAATGTTACGGCTTTGTAACTTAGAATAGTTTGTTGCTAAGCACATGCACATAGTGATCATTTGTTACACATTTGAAACCTACAGAACAGTCCAAAAGAATCACACTTAAATTTTTATTATGAAAACTCATTATGGAAAATTGTGGGCATATGCAAATCTACAGAGACCATTCATGATCCCTTTCACTAAGGATAACCGTCCACATTTTGATGTTACTTTTAATGTTCTTTCTATGTACCTATATAATTTTTAAAAATCAGGATCAGGCAATATATGTAATTTGTGGCCAGGTTATTTGCACTTATATTGTGTTTTCCTTTTCAATAAATAGTCTGAAAATATGATTTTTAATTATAAAAACATTTTTATTCATATATATTATTTAATTATCCCCTATGTTTCGGAGGCATTTATTTTCCCTTTTTTTGGCTATTATAATATTGTTTGGACATGTTTGTACCTACATGATTTTTTCCCAAATTTCTATATGGAGAAGCCGATAGATTCCTAGAAGGGCAATTACTGAGTCTAAAAGAATGAAACTTTTTAAAGCTCTGGAGATATATGTTACCAGGTTACTTTTCAGAAAGATTATGCCAATTTAACACTCTCACCAGCAGTGGATAAAAGTACTTCCTACTTTGTTTTTATCTACATTGCCTTAAAATAATAATAAAAGTATTTACAAATTAGAATTAAAAAAAAAAAATCTCTAATAATAAAAAGTACTGTTTTTCTGTTTTATAAGTGGTTTGTTTCAAGTATGAGCCCAGTTTCCTTGCCACTGTTAACTAAAAAAAAAAAGAAAGAAAAAAAAAAAAGAGCAAAGGCTTCTAAGAATACACAGAACCCTGTTATATCTGTTATAAAGTCATGGATTTGCAAAACTGAGGAATATACTGATTTTGCCCTAAGATAAGAACACAAAACCAATAATAAATCAAGTCTGCAAATTCCTGACTCCCTTGTCAGTTATCTGATCATCAGATTATTAAATCTGGTGATTTAGGGTTAGGGTTAGGGTTTTTTAAAAAGGAAAGTTTTTTAAAAAGGAAAGTCAGTATTACTCATAGAGGGAGACCAACATTTCTGTTGAAGTTTTGCAAGCTGAAAAAAACTTCTCATTAAAAACAATTACTTAACAGCTTTTCCTAGCACATAACACGGTACTCGGCACACAGAAGATACTGACTAAATGTTTGTTGATTCGGTGGTGAAAAAAGGTTAAAAAAATGTCATATGCAATTTGAAGATAAGAGAAAAAATTGTTCGCCCGGGACAAAATGTAGATATGGTTTACCTGTGTCCAGGACTGAACTTACGATTGCTATTCACAGCTTTTATATTGTCTTATTGCATGACCTGCACATTTTGGTTAATTCTACTAAGTTTATTGATTTTTAAAAATTGAGGACACTGCCTACCTAGCAATTGTGTGATGAAACTAGGTAATAGTGAAACTAGGTATATTCTTGGATTATTAGATGAATTTTAGATTTTTGCCTATTTATAAAAATTTGTTGTAATCTGCTTTTATATTTACTGAACCATAATAGTTTAGAGTGTGTGTGTCTCTGTGTGTGTTTTAATGCTTTAAAATACTCTACCTTTAGCTCAAACGAAATGGTGCTATAGAATTTGTTAGGTTGCCCGAATTTTGTAAATCAAAAGCTTTGGAATTAACCTTAGTCATACAAAATAAGAGAGGGAGTTAAAAAAAATGAAATACACAATTCAAGGAAAAACTGAATTTAATGAAGGATAAGAAACAACCTAATAGTAAGTAAATAACAGGCTTTTCTTCAGGAAGTCTTATTTCAGTATCTTATTAGTAACTTAGTATCGAATATACTAAATCATTATCTTAGAAAGATTAATTCCCTAGGCTACTGTAGAAGCAATGAAGATTATCTCATTACTGGCATAAAGCTAGTGGAAATTTATAAAATAAAGCAGATTTATAGATTTCAAAAACAGCAACAAAAAACTATATCTCTGCAACAAATACTACAGACAAAATGTTAATATCTTTAATGCATAAAGAACTCTTACAGAATCAATAAGGAAAACATTAACAGAGAAAAATGCTATAGCGAAATAACTAATAAATATTTTTAATTTTGATCTTGCCGGTAATCAAAGAATTAAAAAAATTGATACAAAAACGTTTTTCTTCCATCAGGTAAAAATTTTTTAAATGAAAATTCCAGTGTGTTAAGGTTCTGGTGAAATGAGCACTTTTATATACTGCTTTGGGGAGTATAAGTCGGTATAGCCTTTCAGAAAGGTATTTCAGTATACTATGACGTTTAGAGGTGTTTGCATTCTGTGACTCAGTACTTTCCTTTCAAGTAATCTACCTTGAGAGATTATATATTTGGATAAGTAATTATAAACAAAGTTTCATCTCAATATTATTTGTTATACCAAAAAAAAAAAAAATGGAAACAGCTTAAGTATATATTGAAGGAATAAGGTTAAATAAATTGTGATACATTTAATCAATGGCATTAAAATGTTTTCAAGTAATATATTTTGGGAAATGTTCAGTATGTAACGTTAAGTAAAAAACAAAAAGCTGGATACTAAAATATATGCAGAATGCTGATCCTGTAAAAACATATATATTTCTGCATGCAGAAAATACCAAAATATTATGGATTAGTTATTGCTGGGTATTATTGGTCATTTTAATCTTCTTAATTAGTCCTTTCTCATTCCAACATCTCTGCAATGATCCTGTGTAACACTAATATGTAAAAGTTTTTAAATATAAGAAACACTTTTGAGCTTCTACCTATGTACTTTGTTGGTGCTTTTCCCTACCCTGCAATGGCTATCCTCTTCCTTTAATAATAATAGCTGCCATGTACTGAGCACTTTTTAGGTCTGCTAAGTCTTCTGTATGTGTCCTCATGTAATCTTCACAATAACTGCATTTTTAAAATGAGGATACAGGCTTGGAGAAGGGTGTGTTTTGCTTAAGATAAAAAAAAAAAAAAAGCAGGCAAGTGACAGACAGAGCAAGAATTTGAACTCGATTTGACTCCAGAGCTTACTCATAACCACTATGCTATGTATTTTGTTTGTGGATGAAGGTTTTACTTTGTTCCTAATTTAAATACATTTTTCTTTTAAGATATTTTATTGCAATATTTCCAGACAGGTAGAAATGTAGAGAGAATAGTGTAATGAACCCCACGTACCCATCACCCAGCTTCAACAATTATTCACGTATGGCAGTGTGCTTTATCAATACCCCTACTCATTTAACAATCTCTTCCTTATTATTTTGAGACAAATCCAAGACATATTTCATTCATACATATTTTAGTATATATCCTTAAAAGGGCTCTTGAAAATATTCACAATATAATTATACCTAAAAACATAAATGTCATAAATATATACTATTAACATCTTTTAATTGGATGGATTCTGTAATTCCTGTTGTTATTTCTTTTGTGTTATACTTTTAAGGTGGAACTTAACTTCTTGTGGAACAAGTGTTGCCAGCTCAGAATGCAGTGAGGAGCTGTTTTCATCAGTTTCTGTTGGAGATCAAGATGATTGCTATTCCCTGTTAGATGATCAAGATTTCACTTCTTTTGATTTGTTCCCTGAGGGGAGTGTCTGCAGTGATGTATCTTCTTCTATTAGCACATACTGGGATTGGTCCGATAGCGAGTTTGAATGGCAGGTAGGTTTTTTTTCCCCTTATGTTGCCATCATTACTCCCTAAATAGATATATGAATTTCTATTTTGATATTTTCATCTCTACCCCAAAGCAAATTTCTCCAGTGTTTATCCAATCCTACAGATTCTCTGATATCATTAAGAATTAGATAGAATATGTATCCTTTAGTTTTGCTAACATACCTTTTAGGCTTCTGATGCTACAGATATCCTTTTGTAGATTTTCGTGTAATTTAATACTTGTATAATGTTCTCATTATTATGTATCATCAGTACCTTTCCGTGCATGAATCTAGGCCAATTTACTCTTTCTGCATTATAATAAAAAAGGCTCCGTGCCCTTATAGGCACAGTATCCTTATATTAGGGTCATGTTACATATCTAGGATCACAAACCACTGTTATCATGAATATATAATTTTGAGTCCTGTTATCAGACATACAATATAAATTTTCATTTTGTATTCTCTTCCTATGTAGGGATGTTCTTCCTGTGGCATGTATACCATGTAAAATGACTTTGTGGCAAATTGTTTGGAACCGATTCCTTATAAAGAGTGCAGTCTCTCAGAAAATGTAGATCATGTTATTACAACATCCATTTTCTGATTGCAAAACACTAACATTTAAAGAAGCTTTCCTTGCATACAGCAAATGTTATATTCAACAGATACCTGAGTGCTTACTGTGTTTGCAAGCCATCTAAATATCTGAGGTTGTATTCCAAAAGAGGAATCAAATATTATTTTTTATTTCCAACAATTTTTTAATAAAAAAATATCCAATGGCATAAAATTAAAAGTAGGAGTCTCACTGTAGTTAGCACTGTGAAGAGCTTGTGCAGATACGAGTATGGTTGTATAGCACTGAAAACATACACAAATGGGATCATACTTAAGCCACTGTTTGGCCCTTTGCTTTTTCAACTAATATAGCTCATTCTTTGTGATGGCTGCATCATAATTTAATCAGTTCCTTAATAATGGATATTTAGATTGGTTTTAGTTTTTTCTTGTTATAAACAATTCTACACTGAAAATTAAGTTTTTAAAGAGGATAAATAATCTACAACCCCTCTATTTTTCTATTTTATATAATTTCAAAGGCTTCTATTTTATATGTAGTTATAAATATGATTTGAGTAAAAATTATGATTTTTTTAAACTTAAAAAATTGAGATAAAGTTCACCATTTAAGTACCTTTAAAGGGTATAATTCGGCAGTTTTTAATATGTTCATAATGCTGTGCAGCCATCACCACCAAGTCCAGGACATTCCCATCATGCCAAAAGGAAATCCATACCTGTTAGCAGATAGCCCCAATTCCCCCTGTTCCCATCACCTAGCAATCACTAATTTGCTTTCTCTGCGGATTTGCCTTTCTGGACATTTCGTACAAATGGACTCATATATGTAACTTTTGTGTCTGAGTTCTTTCACTTAGCATGATATTTTTAGGTTCATCCATGTTGTAGCATGTAACAGTACTTCATTCCTGTCTTAGTCAGTTTAAATTGCTTTAACAAATACCATAGGTTGGGTGGCTTAAACACCAAACATTTATTTCTACAGTTCTGGAAGCTGGAAGTCTGAGATCAAAATGCTAGCATGGGCAGTTTCTGGTGAGGGCCCTCTTCCTGGGTTTTAGATGTCTGCCTTTTGCTGTGTCTTTGCGAGGAATGGAGAGAGAGCTCTGGTCTCATTATCCCCTTGTAAGGTCACCGATACCATCATGGGGCCTCCACCCTCATGAACCCTATAAACCCAATTACCTCTCCAAGGCCCCACCTCCAAATATCATCACATTGGGATTAGGTCTTCAAGATACAGATTTTGCAGGGGAGGCACACAAACCTTCAGTCCATAGCAATTCCTTTCTATGGCTGAATATTCCATTGCATGGACACACCACATTTTGTTTAGCCATTCATCAGCTGATGGATGTTGGAGTTGTTTCCACTTTGAGGCTGCTATGAACATTCAGGTACAAGTTTTTATATAGATGTATATTTTTAACTCTCTTGGATATACCCTTAGGAGTGGAATTGCTGGGTCTGATAACTTTATGTTTAACTTTTTGAGGAACTGCCAAAATGTTTTCCAAAGAGGCTGTACCATTTTACATTTCTACCAGCAATACAGTCATGCCCCATTTGACGGGGATACATTTTGAGAAATGCATTGTGAGGCGATTTTGTCGTGCAGACATCGGAGAATGCATATACAAACCAGTGGTACAGCTTACTTCACACCTAGGCTATATGATATAGGCTATGATATAGCCTATTGCTCCTAGGCTACAAGCCTATATAGCACGTTAGTGTACAAAACAAAGGTTAAATCAAGCACTAGAGGAAACGGTGCAATCTAGAGGCATGGTAAACACACGATGTATGAGGCTGCTACTGACATAACATGGTATTCTGTCTTACAGCAACCTTTTTTTTTAATAACTAGAAAGAGTACACATTAAAATGATGATGAAAAATACAGTATAGTTAATAGAAAAACAGTAACATTTATTATCATTATCACATACTGTACATAATTGTGTGTGCTATACTTTTATACCACTGGCAGTACAGTGGGTTTGTTTACGTTAGCATCACAACAAACACATGAGTAATGCATTACACTATGATATTATGATGGCTAGGATGGCAGTCGGCAATAGGGATTTTTCAACTCCATTATAATCTTACAGGACCACCCTCATATATTGAGTGAAATGTTATGTGGAGCATAACTGCGTATGAAAGTTCCAGTCTCTCCACATCCTTGGAGACAGCAATGCTTGGTATTATCTGTCTTTGGTTATAGCTACCCTACTGCATGTAAAGTGGTATCTCATTGTGGTTTTGATTTGCATCTTCCTAACGACTAATGATGTTGAGCATCCTTTCATGTACTTATTGGCCATTTGTATATCTTCTTTGGAAAAAATGCCTATTCAAAACCTTCGCCCATTTTTAAAGTGTGTTATTCATCTTTTATTGTCGAATTGTAAGAGTTCTTTATATCTTATGGCTACTAGACCCTTATTATATACATAATTTGCAAAAATGTTTCCCATTCTGTGGGTTGTCTTTCAACTTGATAGTGTCTGTTCACTTGGTAAATATCCTTTGACACACAAAATTTTTAGTTCTAATGAAGCCCAATTTATCTGTTTTTTTTTCCTTTGGATGCTGTGCTTATGATGTCGTATTTTAAAAAATCACTGGTTATGCAGATTTTCACCTAGTTCCTTCTCAGAATTTTAGCGTTATAGTTCTTAAATTTAGGTCTTTGATCCATTTTGAGCTACTTTTTGTATATGGTGTAAAATGGTCTAAATTAGTTCTTTTGCATGTAGATATCTAGTTGTTCCAGCACTATTTGTTGAAAAGGCCATATTCTTTCCTTATCAAATGATCTTGGTACCTTTGTGGAAAATAAATTAGCTATAAATGTATAGGCTTATTTCTGAACTCTCATTTATATTCCATTGATATATGTCTATCCTTACGCCAGTACCACACTGTTTTAAGTACTCTGGCTTTGTAGTAAGATTTGAAATCAGGAAGTGAGAGTTGTCCCACTTTGTTTTCTTTATCGAGATTGTTTTTTCTATTTGGGGTCCCTTGTGCAATTTTATATGAATGTTAGGATTAGGTTGTCCATTTCTGCAAAAAGGGTAGTCAGAATTTTGATAGGGATTGCATTGATTCTGTAGATCGATTTAGGGAGTATCACCATCAATACTCCCTAAACAATATGAAGTATTTCATTCCATGAACATGGGATGGGATATTTTTGTTTAGGTTTTCTTTAGTTTCTTTCAATGATGTTCTGTAGTTTTCAGCGTCCAAGTCTTGTACTTCCTTGGTTCAGTTTACTCCTAAATATTTCATTCTTTTGAAGCAGTTGTAAATGGAATTGTTTTCTCATTTTCATTGTCGGACTGTTCATTTCTATTATATAGAAGTACAACTGATTTTTTTGTAATTTGATTTTGTATCCTGCAACTTTGCTGGACTCATTTGCTAGCTTTAATAGTTGTTTGGTTTTTTTCTTTTGTTTGTTTGTGGGGTTTTTTTGATGTGGATTTTTTAGGGTTTTTAAGATCATGTCGTCTATGAAAAGAGATAGTTTTTCTTCTTCTGTTCCAATCTGGATAGCTTTTCTTTTCCTTTCTTAATTGACCTGGCTTGATCTCCAGTATAGTGTTGAACAGAAGTGGCAAAAGCAGGCATCCTTGTCTTTTTCCTGATGTCAGGGGAAAAGCTTTCAGTCTCTCACCATTGAGTATAATGTTAGCTGTAGGTTTTTCATAAATTCCCTTGAGCATATCGAGGAATTTCTCTTTTCTTCCTAGTTTGTTCAGTGCTTTTATCTGAAAGGGTATTAGATTTTTGTCAAATGCTTTTTCTTCATCTGTTGAGATTATCATGCAGTTCCTTTCCTTCATTCAATATTTTGATATACTACATTGATTTTTGTATGTTGTATTCCTGGAATTAATCCTAATTGGTCATGGTATATAACTCTTTTAATACGCTGCTAGATTTGGTTTGCTAGTAGTTTGTTGAGGATTTTTGTATCTGTATTCATAAGGGATATTGGTTTGTAGTTTTCTTGTGATTTTTTTGTACGGCTTTGGTCTCATAGAATGAGCTAGGAAGTGTTCTCTTTTCTGCATAAAATATTGCAGTAAGATTTTCTCATTTAACATAAACATTTTCATGATCTTCATTATAACTCTTTAAATGACTACATAATATTCCCGATTCTAGATGTGCCAGAACTTGTGAAATCCTTCCTCTATGTACATCTGTTTGTTTGTTTTTTCTGTTAAAGATAACGTAGCAGTGAGCATCTTTATCTGGGTACCTTTTTATTCTTGAGTGCCTCATTTTTTAAGTGCGTACTTTGTATTTAAAATCAGACAACAAGGATTCTTAATAAAGTGTAATCAGATGGAGTCCTGATAATTCTGAGAAATAGTTTTCCACTTATTTCATGTGATTTATTTAGAGTTTTTATAATGTTGCAAAGTGGCAAGTTTTTTTTTTTTTTTTTTAATTTTAATTGCCAACTTCTTCAGCCATTTCACGAGTAGAGTGCAGAACTGCCCTCAACCACTCACTGTTCATATACATGACTGACTACAACATTGGGACAAAAAGCAGGCCTGCTTCAGTAATGTGTTTTCCCACTTATGAAATTGGAGTATGGGTACTCTGTTGCCATGGATATTTGCTATTTAAATATGCCGAAAGGTTTAAAATGCTCTCTTGTCTTTGTGGGACTTCATAATGATGAGCAGTAAATTATCCAAGAAAATAATTGCAAATTATGTGTTAGGATTAATATAGACTAAAAATTGTTGACTGTAGTTTAAAAAAAAATTCATGTTACCTCTGTTGTGATTAAAAACCGCATCTGTTTAAATCTTCCTTTTTAACAGATGTTTCACTTATTGCTAAGTAACTATAAATGATTCATAGATTCTGGGAAGAGAAATACTAACTACTTAATAAGGCAGGATTTTAACCTTAGAATGAAGTAGCATCTTAGCATTTGAAGTAGCCTTGAAGCATTTCACTTTGCTGATAGATTTCTTTGCTAGCAGTCCTTTTATTATTAAAAATATATTTGACTAGTCTTAGAGCTTGAAAAATTATTTTATTGTTGAGCAGGAAAGCATAGAAAATTTAAAGAATAATTCAGCCGTCACTTGAAACCTAGAGGTGCATTTTGAAATTGCACATCAGCTGTTACAGATAGGAGCTTACTCATAAAATTTTGCTGCACATTGCAGAAATATGGCAGAGGTTTGATTTAATTTTTCCTATGTGTCACAATTACTGATTATAATATAAATATACCAGATATTGTTGTCTGTGAAAAATATGGCATGAGAATTATTAAGCATTTTTATCCTGAAATATTTTATCTGTAATAAAATGGAAAATTGCTGGCCTAATAAATATACAGGAGCCCATACAATTAATTTTCATGTACATCTGCTACTCTCACACCATGTCTCCAATTGACTACTTGACATTTCCACTTGGATGACCTTATTATTTAATGCTAACCCATTATCTGATGCCAAGTCCTTGATCAGCAATGAAACTTCCAATCATAGTGGGGGAAAAATAGATTCTGCTTTGTGATATGTATTAGAGTGTAGTGACAATGACTATTGTCATTTCAAAGGACACTTGTACTTGCTTCTATCCTTATCACTAAAATTCTCCATATCCCAAATCGCATTCTTCTCTCATTCCAAAAACCTGCAAGGCAAGATGTCCTTGTATAGTTGAAAGCACTGGACTTGTATCCTACTTTGGATGTTGCCACTAACCATGTGACCCTCCCTGGACATCGCTTTTCCTTCTTTGTAAAATGAGGGTATTAGACTTGAAGATCTATTAACATTGCTTCAAGTCTCTTGCTGTAAAAATTGAGGTGTTTAAGTGCATCATCCTGGATCTGTTCTATGACTCAAGTATTGCCACTTTTCTGCTGCTCTCATGTTGGTCATCTGACTATTTTTCTTATCCATTCAGTTATAAACAGCCTTGTAAATTGTTTTTCATTTGAAATTTTCCATGTTCCCATTTTTCTTTCCAGTTTTGCTGGACCTAGATCAAACAAAAATTGTCTAATTCCAGTTTTTTCTCACTCTATTTTGTCCCCATACAGCTTTTGAACTTATCTTCCTTCAAGACCAGTTTCATCGAGTTACTTCTACTTAGGAAATATTATTGGCTTACTTCTACATATCATATAACAGTTTCCGGTTCTTCTGTTCACTTTCATATCCCTAGCACAATTTTCCGTTTTAATCATATTGGTTTTCTTAACTTCATCCTGTGTTTTTTCCATCTGTTTTACTAAATGATTCCCCATACCTGAATGCCTTTTCCTTTTACTCCTTCGGCTGTTCTGAGAGACTACTTTGTGAAACTTAACCCAGCCACTTTAGTAACGTGGCATTCTGTTAGGGTTTATGTTACCTTTTTTAAGGGTCTAAAACCATGGCAAGAGATGGAAAAAGCAAAATATGCCTATTTATTGAGTGTCACCCATGTTCTAGGCATGTTAATTCATTTAAACCTTTCAACAGTCCTTTGAGATGGATGGCATTAACCATAATTTATGCTGAAGATTCTGAGGTTTCAAACAAGCAAACTAACCTCCACAAGATCACATAGCTAGTGAGCAGTGAAGCTAGGATTTGAACTCTATTTGGGATCCTTTTACTTCTTACTGGAAAAAAAAAATGGCCAAAGAATCATTGGTTGCCTTTTTTACCACCCCTCACCCCTGCAACAGATACATAAACAGAATTAAAGATGCAGATTTCAGTACTTAATATGGTCTGGTACGTGGTAGATATTTGCTAAAGAATTAAATGAAAAATTTTCTTAAATTTTGAAAGTTGATCTTTTGAGAGTTCCTTTCTCTACCTAATTTATCAAAGGAGCTTGAAGTAGGAGAGGCCTTTCATCTGATGAGTATTTCATTTTCTTTTAGGAACCCTAGAGACATCTTTAATGTAGTAATGTTTTGATTTGAAGTCATTCAAAGGGAAAATAGCAAAACATTTTTTTGACATTAAAGCCTGACACTGACTAGATAACCTTCGGGCTAAGGGTGAGCAATTAAAACAGTGTAGTTAATGAGATTTTAAAGGAAGTCATACAAATTGTTGGAAGTTACTTATGCACTTGGATTCATTAATGCCTGTCAAAGTGAAAGTGTGGTTTTTAAAAGTAGTAGCGAACTTAGACAGTTTCATTCTAAACATCATGGTCACCTTGCATAGCCATTTTTGTGGCTTCATTCCTCTCTTCTTGCAGTTGACTACCCAGTCAATGCCTGCCCCCTTGTAGCTCTCCTAAGCTCTAATCCTGCAGTTTCAAGCTCACTGCTAGATATTTCCATTGATGACCTGTCATCTCATCCCTAACATTCATCATCTGCTATGCTGTATAATTGTACATTTATGTGATTGTATTATTTTCCCAAGTAGAGTATAAAGTTCTTGTGCAAAGACCACAACTTACACGCCTTTGAATCCCTTATACCTATTATGCTGCTGTGGGTGCAATAGGAAGCTAAATATATGTGATTACAGTAATCTTCATGAATGACTTAAACACACTTAATTTAAAATTAAATCCATTCTGAGTTTTGGTGTTTATTACCTTGATTGTGGTGATGGTTTCATGAGTACATGCATAGGTCCAAACTCATCAAATTTTATACATTGAATATGTACAGTTCTTTGTATATCACTTGGAACTCAATAAATAAAGTTGTTAAAAATTAAATTCATTCTGACTGGCTTTTAATAGGCAATATAAAATTATAGCACATATTTTTGCTGTCCATCTCACTTTAAACTGATTTGATTTTCTGTGTATCGGACTTGTTTGTATTTCTCCTTTGTACATTGTCTCTTACATTTTTTTTTTTCTAATACTCCTGGATTTTAAAGTGTTTTTGCTTTATATTAACAGTATATTTTAATTGTCTCAAGGTTGTTAATACAGACTTGAGGACAAGGACCATGATTTATTTGTCTTTATATTGACAGTATTTCTAGCACAGTGTCTGGCAAAGAGCCAGGTAATGGCAGATCACTCAGGTCTCCTGAGATGGAGACCTGTGCTCCTTTTTCATTATGCTATGGGGGCCCTAGCCCAGGGCCGCAGACCAGTACCAGTCAGTGGCCTGTGAGGAACCGAGCTGCACAGCACAACAGGACGTGAGCGGCAAAGCTTCATCTGTATTTGCAGCCGCTCTCCCAGTGCTAGCGTCACCGCCTCAGCTCCACCTCAGATCATCAGGCATTAGATTCTCATATGAGCACCAGTCCCTGGTGCCAACGAGGTTGGGGACCGCTGCCCTAGCCTATATTCACATTAAAAACCTTAAGGTAGCATTTTAACAAGTCTCGATTATGATTTTAAACTTTTGGAAAATATCTCTCATTAAATAACTGATTGTATACAAAGGATATATTGATGTTGCTTCTTTGTCTAAAATAGGATTGGATCAGAATTAATGTCTTCTGATTCTGTATTTGTCATTAGTCTTTTTATTAAACTAATTTTAATCAATGTGAAATATGTTGTATTTAAAATACATTTATTACAAATTTTTCTCTCTATACCCCCTTCTCCTTATTTTTATAAAGTTGCCAGGCAGTGACATTGCAAGTGGGAGTGACGTGCTTTCTGATGTCATACCCAGTATTCCAAGTTCACCTTGCCTACTTCCTAAAAAGAAAAACAAGCACCGGAATTTAGATGAACTTCCTTGGAGTGCAATGACAAATGATGAGCAGGTAGAGATTTCGACATTCTTAATTAAAAGCATATATGTGGAGAATGTGTGAAGCTCAATTTATTGCCTGTTTAAAGTCACTGGGTAAATGTGGATTGCTTAGTAAATCTGAATTTGAGCTTTAACTAACTGTTTTTGCAGGGAACAAGTATAATATTAAGTGCTTCAATATTTAAAACACATTATAAATGACACACTAAACGATCGGAGGTTTTGGCAATTGATCTTGTTTATTATAATTTTTCATTACTTAGGTGGAATATATTGAATATCTGAGTCGTAAAGTCAGTACTGAGATGGGTCTTCGAGAGCAACTCGATATTATTAAAATAATTGATCCTTCTGCTCAAATCTCCCCTACAGACAGTGAGTTTATTATTGAACTTAACTGTCTCACAGATGAAAAACTGAAGCAGGTATGTAAAGAAAATACAGATTGTTCAGCTATCGAAAATACCATTGTTTTATAACATGTATACTTGAATGATCGTATGTAAATACATAGATAATTTAGGTCAAAATCACTGCCGTGAAATGAAACATTAGAAAAAATGATGGCAATATTTGAGAACACATGGTTTTAAGAGGTTTTATGTACATTTCACCTAGCAGTATCTTTCTGGGATCACGTGGATCTAGAACCTGCTTTTTAGTTGTGTAGGCTTTGAAACTTAATTTTACCACATGAGGGGTGGTTATCCTAAGCTATAGATTTATTCTCAGTCAGCTTACAAAAGACTGCCTGACAATCAAAATGCTGATTATTGAGAGATATACTTGAATGAACATCTGAGCTGAAAGATTTGAGTAGACTTAGAGAGTAATTGAGCCTGGCTAGGGTAAAACATGATTTTCCTTCTGCTATTCTGAAATACACATTTCTGTTATCTTCTAAATAGTCTTTACTGGTGTCTTTTTCTCTGGTACATAGCTAAATGAATACTTATGTTCTACTTTAAATTTTTTTGGTATTTATCATTTATGAAACATTTTTCTCATGTCAGTATTTCTCTCAACAGACATACTATAGTTTTCTATATTTCAGCCCATTTTTTTATTAGTATGGTAAATCGATGCCTTACATTTGAAGACAGGTACCCTGGGCCTCTAGTTAAGAGTTATGAAACGCTCTAATGTTAGATATAATTAGCAGCCTACTTACATCGTCTTAAGTGGAGACCTTTAAAAATGCCTAATCTCATCTATTTTATTTTATTGTTAGTTTCTGTTTCTGAGTGTTATTACCTTAGAATCTTAAATTCTGGAGGTCAGTAGCCTTCCATTTACTAAGTATATTTTACGTGCTTTTAAAATCTAGCTCCATAATATGTATCTAGAATTTTGAACATTGTCAAGGAATTTCTTTTATCCTTATATTCTACCTGTGTACCTCTGTAGCACTTTTGTTGACAGTCTTTTAAGTTAAGTATAACATTATTCTTTTCTGCACTATTTCGAAGGTAGAATGTCAAGGAACAATACTAACTGGTTTCTGTCCACGTGTTCCAAGGTCAGAAACTACATCAAGGAGCATAGCCCTCGCCAACGGCCTGCAAGAGAGGCCTGGAAGAGAAGCAACTTTAGTTGTGCAAGCACCAGTGGAGTAAGCGGTGCCAGTGCCAGTGCCAGCAGCAGCAGTGCCAGCATGGTCAGTTCTGCAAGCAGCAGTGGGTCCAGCGTTGGAAACTCTGCTTCAAACTCCAGTGCCAACATGAGTCGAGCACACAGTGATAGCAACCTATCTGCAAGTGCAGCAGAGCGGATTCGGGATTCAAAAGTAAAACATCTACTCAATACAAAACTTTACTTTTCAGTATTAACATTAGTACTCCTTCCTTCTAAATTTCTTGGAGTTAAACTTATCCTGCTATCTAGATGCCTGCGGGTTTCAGTTTTAATTGAACAAGCAGGATGCTCTGCTGTCGAACTGAGCCCTCTAGGCTGAATGCTTGAAATACTCTTTTGACTCACATCTGTATCATTCAGTTTTATCTGATTTTTTTGTCTGTTTTAAGTAAGATAAATTGTTGGAAACAATGAGTGAGTCTCAGGATTGCAATGTTGACTGCAGCTCACTACTGAGCGGATCTCTTCATGTTGCCGACGTTGCTATTAGCTCCTAAGAATATTCTGTCTGTCTTTTGTATGCATTAAATATTTTCTTAATGTTTTAGTCTTGAATGTTTCTTCTTAGCCCTTTTAAAAATGTAATAATGCTTTCCTTAATTTCTGTCTACTCTTTTCATAGTTGAAGAAATTCTGTATAATATTATTGGGCATATAAAAAATGGAAGGTATAAGTGTATGTGTGGTTGTGATGCTTAGCTGGAGAGTTCAGTCCCTTGCAGTGGTGACAGTCTGGAGCCAACCTAAGAATGATAAGGGTATCTTTCTACCTCTTTGAGAACCTAGTGGTGACTAGAAGATACACATGATTCCTTCTCTGGCTTTTACTGAAGTAGCAGAAACAGAGCCGGCCTTGTCAGTTGCCAAGGGATTCCTCTGGATATGTGGTCATTCCTTTTTGGCATTAGTTCACCAGTGACAAGGAATAGAGTACCCAGTGGGTTCTAATGGGCTTTTTAAGGTGTTATTTGCCTAATATGAAAAGGACATTCTTTCCCAGTCATTGTAAAATTGCTAGTGCTTTTGGTTAAAAGGCACCTTAAAAGCATACACATTAGAGCCTTTGGAAATATTCTCTACATTTGTGTTCAGTATTATTCACTATGTGTTCACTTTGCACTAATGCTAGTGTACCTTAATTTGATTTTAAAAAGGCTTTGAAATGATTGGTTAGCTATAACTTTGGCAAAGTAATCAAGAAGATTTATTGGTCGAAGACTGTAAAAATAGAATCTTGAAGAATTATTTTCAAGTCTAAGCCAGTGACTTATTTACGGGAACCAGGATCATACGGCAGAGGAATTCGAATATCTTTTAAAATTCTGAAAATATAGACTTTGATCCATAAAATACTCTGAGGGTGGCCAGAATTAAGCCTTACTGATTTAGAAATTTTTATTTTGACAGAAGCGATCCAAACAGCGGAAGTTGCAGCAGAAGGCCTTACGTAAGAGGCAGCTGAAAGAGCAGAGGCAGGCTCGGAAGGAGCGGCTCAGTGGGCTCTTCCTTAATGAAGAAGTGCTGTCCTTGAAAGTGACTGAGGAAGACCATGAAGCAGATGTAGATGTTTTGATGTAATAAGGGTGAAGCTCTCAGCATTCTTTCTAAGCGTTAAAGTATTCTCTCCTTATTTGTTTACATGCATCTTGGCCAAACTTTTGGTTAGGGCTGTGCTGATGTATACCATTAATAATTAAGGCCAGTGGTTCTCAGCAGATGGTCCCTGGACCAGAAGCTTCAGCATCACCTGAGAAGTTGTTAAAAAAGCATACTATGGGGCCCCACCCGAGACTTGATGAATCAGAAGCCCCAGGGGAGGGGCACAGCATTGTATTTTAACAAGCACCAGGTTATTCTGCACTGTACTCTAATTTTAAGAACCACTGATTTAGTAAATGTTTTGACTATTTAAACTTTAGGGTGGTTAAGTAGGCTTTTTCAAAGACTAGTACTTTTACAGTTTAGAAGATTTCAAGGTAACGCTGACAAGTACTTCATTATATTAGTCTATGTACATGTGGAGAGATCATAATTCAGTTTCCTTAATTTACAGTTTCTTAGTTTACTTTTTCTAAAGGGCCATAGCAGAATTCTCAACTCCTAATGGAAATCTCTTTTGAGGTTGTGGGGGCAGGATGTGGATTGCTGTTTACACTAGTGCCTTTATTAGGTTTACTTCTGTTTTCATTCCTTATTAACTCAAAGTATAAAAAGAGGCCCTAATATCTTTTCTGTAGGTAGTCTTTGTTTTTCACTTTATGTAAATTCAGAATCTCTTCTGTAAGTGATGACTACTGAGGAAATGTTACTAATAGCTGAATTTTAGACTTGATGCTATGTTGATTAATATTCAAGAGACCCTTACTGGTGCTCTTGACCAGTTTAGAGGGCCTAGAGAGAGCTTGGGGAATAGACCCTAGAAAAAACACCTTAGCTTGTTGGCTGTTAATAGAACTAATTTTAAACATGAAATCATGGATCGCTTCTGTCAGCAATTGAGCAAAAGAACTGATCCTACTTTTCCACTGCTTTCTGAAGTTTTAGGCTGTGAACTGCCTCAAAGGCAGAAAATATCTCAAGTTCTTTTTGTAGGTCATTTGTTTTCCAGCACAGCTCTAATTTTTAAATATTTGGTTTAACAGCTTCTGGCATGTGAACAGGTTAATGTTCAAAATTAACTAAAGAAGACCCTTACTGTTCTGCTAAACTTCTCTATAAATCACTAGAAATACACAGAGCAGTGACTACTGGTGCTCTTGACCAGTTTAGAGGGCCTAGAGAGAGCTTGGGGAATAGACCCTAGAAAAAACACCTTAGCTTGTTGGCTGTTAATAGAACTAATTTTAAACATGAAATCATGGAGTTTCTTTAAAAGTTTTCATGGAGAGTTTGTTATGATCATTCGAAGTAGTGCGATTCCTTTTCTTCTACCACACGTCTTTAAACATTCACATGGGTTAAAAAAGATGGAAACGAATACTACTGACAATCAAGCTGGTTTCTGACTTTCATAATTGTTGTTTGTTGTGGATAACTTTTGAGAGGTAATCATGATACTGTAGGAGTTGTAATCAATTATTTTTTTAGAACTAGAGTCAGGTTGATGGGAATTTCTCCTTTTTTTAACTTTTATTGAATTACATCAGGTGGCTTGTTACTATAAAGATTAAAGACTTAAAATCTTAATTTAAAATTCTTAATCTATATATAAAGGTTTAACCTTTGCTTACCATCATGTGTTTTGAAAATTTGATTTCATTTTGGTCCCTTGAAGTTCAAAGAATTGAGACTGAGGATAAAAATTGATATATTGCAGCTTTGCTGAGGTCTGTGGTATGGTTGTAACAATTTGAAGACTACAAAATTCATACTCAAAAAATTTTCTGACATATAAGTATATATATGGTTATCAGTTGGAGTAATCCTTCTGACTTCCCTCTTACCCCCCCTCTTTGGTGCTCTTGACCAGTTTAGAGGGCCTAGAGAGAGCTTGGGGAATAGACCCTAGAATATTCTGAGGAAGGTGGAAAGGGGCAACTGAACCACGTTGTGTTTTCCCTTTCACATGTAGAAGAGTAAACAGGGAGAAGAGCAAATACAGCTGCATTCTGTCAGCTCTTAGTAAAAGCAAAATTCCAGAGACCGTAGAGCAGCATTTATCTGTTAAATACTTGGAAACAATTTACTTGTGACCAGTAAAAGAAAATCCTAAACAGGGTCATGATGTAGTAAGACCAGTTTCTCTACTCTCCCAACGATCACATAGTCTTAATACCTTAGGTTTAACTTAGATCACTATTAAACAAGTTTACCAAAGCACCACAAAGCCAATGTAAAAAGTATATAAAGGTTGGAGAGTTTATAGTAAGGTACGGCATGAAATTTTGTATAAGTCTGGATGAAATGTCTTTATGGAACTATACAGATAGTCCATAAAGTTGGTTTGGAGGAAATTGAAATACTTCCTCTGATTAAAAGAAAAAAAAGCAAAACAACTTGGGTTTACTTATGATTGAAGAAGGAGCTTGCAATCTTTCTCCATCCCCTCAAAATAAAACCAGCAGAAAAAGACAAAATTTTCTTGTCTTCGTTAGTGTGCTATACTTCTGTTTTAATGCCTCATGTAAATAATTCAAGGTTGAATTATTTCTTTCTTGGAATAAGTAATAACTTATTCAGTCTGGTATATTTCTGAGTGCAATTTAAAACAAACCCAACTCAGTGCTTTTCCTTTCAAATATAAGCCCTAACAAATTAATAAAAAATTGAGACTTATTTGCTCCATTGTCAGTTCTCATCTGTAGAGATTTGACATTGGAGCAAATAAATCTCCCCCTTTAAAAATAAAGCTTGTTAACTGAGAGCATCATAAAGTCCCCTGAGAATTATCCAGAAACATTTTATTAAAGATCTTGTATTTATGTCAATTATATATCAATAAAACTGAAAAAAAAAAAAGTTATGGTAGAGGCTCGTCATTCCCCACCACAGCTTTTTAAAGTATGAACCTTGAGTTAAACAAAATGGCATGTCTTTCTGCAGTTTTGCAACCGAATTAAAGTAAGACAGTGTAATATAATGTCTAGTGGAGTATAAAGGGCTAGTTCATTCAGTCCCAACAAGAACTTAGAGTAAAATAAAGCCTTTTTTTTTCTCCATGAGACTTGTCTCATTTTTTTTTTTGTTAGCCTGGGGCAGTTTTGCCCGTTTCCTCAGTCCTTTGGGTTAACTAAATATTGTTGAATTAATCCCAGAAACTGACTCGTTATTTAATGATTTTGTGGATTGGGCGGACATCTCATTTTATTTAGTCTTGAAAAGTGCTAAATCCTCGCATAAAGGAAAAATTCCGAGAAACTACTGTATAAAGGTATCCCGATTCTGATGAGCTTTACAAATTGTGAAATTTATCAGATGTTTTCATATTTATGCCAAAAATGTTAGTACATGACAAATGTAGAACTCTTATTTCCAGATTCTCTAGCAGAGATTTTTGACCTTGACTTACTCTATATAGCCTCATGTGCCTTAAAGGTGAATTCTGTACTTTTTGTTACTATCAGGCTTTTCCAAACTCAGAAATAATCTAAGTGTTGTAATTGGTTTTATAAAATGCCCATGCTGGTGGATATCAGTAAGCAAAGCCATTAAATCAAACTAATCAATGATAATAGGGTATATAACAAAACAGAAACCTTCAGATCTGAAATGACATTTGCATAACTTCGTTTTGGCCCATCTAAGTAATTGAAGAACATTGAAAGTTATCTAAAGTATAGCTTAATGATATATTCTTCTATTTTTTTCTCTGAAAAGGGTCATAAGCCAGAATACTTTTTAAAACTAGATAACTCTTAATATCTGGAAAGGTAATTTCAAGGTAAAAATACTTCAAGAACAGAGATCGTATAGCAAGTTGATTCTCTTAACTTTAAGGATTCTTTGCATTCATTTGTGTAATAGCCTGAACACTTCCCTCCCCTTGAACAAATTACCTTTTAGCATTCCTATCTTCAAGAAAATGTTTGCTTGGAATTGGAAGAGGGTTATTTAAAGTCACTTTATAGTTTGAGATGGTTGATAGGAAAATTCCCAGTTGCATTCAGATAATAGTATTGATGGTGAGCATCAATACTGACATTCAACCTGTCTAAACTTTGAGGTAAATTTAGTCCTTAAAAGGACTATTAGTTAGAAAATAAGTATTTGTATGTACCTGTACTGTTATAACTTTGGATTTGTTTTAACTCTGACTAAGATAAATTTTGTCTTTATGATGAAATTATGCTAAGTGGGTAAGAAGCATCTGAGAGATATTTAGACCTAGGAGAGATATTTAGACCTAGGCACCTCTGTCAGCATAGTGTCTGCAACATAGCTCCTTAGAATGCTTAATTCTTATTTCTTTGGAAAATAATTTATTTATTTTGAAAGGCTTAGAAGGAACTCTGAAAATTCCTCTAATTAGCTGGCTATTAAGAGTAAGGAAGTTTCATGGTATAGTTGAAAACTCTTTGACTCACTAAAATTTTATTTTCATACTTTTTCTGATATTAAAATTGTTTTCAGCCCCTTTCACAGTTTTAAATTAAGGTTATTAATGTTTTAACCTAGATCACATTATGGTAAGTTAATTTTTTATTTGACATTCATATTGAATGCAGAAAAACTGGTTTGGTCTTCTTGGATTTCAATATGTAGTACTTTATTGTCAAGTTTCGATGTTATCTCTTTGTGGTCAGTGGAACCTGTGGAAATATATGGGTTTTTTTTTTGTTTGTTTGTTTGTTTGTTTTGTTTTTTTTGTGGTAAGGGATGGGAGTGGAAAAGAGGAGAATTGCTCCAATTATACTTAAGCATTTTGACTATATAAAGGTAGCTGTAGACATAATATGTGTAAATGACAAGTTAACATTTACCTATTCTGAAGCATTCTAAGGAACAGGGGCCTGAAGCCTTGGCTTGTTTTGGGGAGCTGCTTGCTCTTTAATGGTAGCTGGTAGCTGACCAATTGGATTTAAGTTGAGACTTCGGGGGTAGGTTAGCTAGCTCAGGCTTTTAGGAATGGAGCAGATCGTGTCTGTTCCTGTAGTGGCTCAATTTAATTTTCTCTTTAAGTACTATAATTTAGATATAGGTACTGTCCATTCTAAGTTATTTGTGTTGGGAGTTTAATAAGACTTGTCAAAGCCTATTTAAGATAAATACAAGTATATGTAAAACATTTCACAGATGGTTAAAAATTTCCTTTTCTTCAGTTTCAAAGATTAGTTCTACAGCATCAGTATCATAACCAAAGCATGTAGGAAGTTGACTCGTTTGGAGAATCTTCAAGTAGTCTTAAATACTGTAATGTATCATATTTTAACCAGGATTTTTTTCCTGTATTTCTGCTAAATTTATTATTATATTAATGCACTTTTGTGTATATAACTGTTTTCTGTACATTCTGTACTTACTACAGTGTATATAAAAGCTGTCTTTCTTGAAGCTGTGAGGGAAAAACACTAGCTGTAACACAAGTTGTTTCTATTTTGAGTTCCTTCTTGTACTTGAAAGTAGTAGTTCAATAGATAAATCTAAACGAGTATGTATGGTAGTAGTTAAGACTGGTGATGTGGAAGAGCTGTCTTTTGAAACTGAATATCAGAATGAAAAGAGCTGTTTTGGTTATTAAGAGCTCTTGCAATATGTTAATTGTTTTTTGATGTACCATGAGTTTTTGCAAGCCCCATTGCTGCTTACTACTTTATACTTCTGAATCCACTCCATTTCATGTTCTATCCCAGAACATTTACCAATGGAGAAGAGTTGCTCTATTTTCCTTTGCTCACAGTTTGGTTAAGGCTTCATAATCTTTTGTTTCGTGAAAGCCCCAGTTTCCCAAATTTCATTGGCAAATCATTCTTTTCTGGAGAGATCAGATTTCTAGAGAGACTAGCTAGCATTCATAGTAAGTGAAAATTAGGTCTCACTTTTGTTTACAAAAAATAAGATCTATTTTCCTTGTATATTGACCTAGAATCTTTTAAAGTTATAATTATATAAAAGAAATGTCTGTGAGCAGTTTTATGTATAGATAGCAGAAGCAGTTCAGCTTTTCAGCAGCAACTGTATCTCTTGCCACTAGAGGGAGTCTGTGACTGCTCGCTTCTTCAGAAAATGTCTCACCTGCTTTTCTTTTAATTTCAGAGGTTGGAATCAACCTTATTCTCAAAATTCCTTTTGTGATATTAAGTACTTTC